GAAGACTGTAGGAGAACTCATGGGAAGCTTACACACATACGAACTGGAAGTTCTTGCTGATGATGATATTGGAAGCAATAGGAAAGGAAAGTCGGTAGCCTTTGTGGCTGAGGCTGATCGAGAATCTGACACAGACGACATAGATGATGAAACCTTAGCTCTTCTAACCAAAAATTTCAATAAAATTTTAAAAGGTTTCAACAGAAAGGGTTAAGGTCAGCCTACCAAGACACAATACAAAGGTAACAACTCCTCATATCAAAAGGTAGAAACAGCACCTTTCTCACAAAACAATCAATCTCAGACTGGGCGATCAAGACAAAACAGAAACAGTTCCACAGACACAGGAAAACCCCTCAATCGGTTAGTGCAATGTAGGGAATGTGAAGGATACGGTCACATACAGGCTGAATGTGCAACATATCTTAAAAGGAAAAAGGCTATGTCTGTAGCTACTCTTAGTGATGATGAGGAGGAAACTTCAAATGATCAATCAGATGATAATGTAGGAAACTTTGTAGCTTTCTTTACTGCTACAGACCTTCAGTCAGACAGAGATCAATCTGATGAAGAATCATACATATCAACTGATGATTTTGAAGAGAGACATACTCAACTTGAGATAGAATTTGCAAAACTTGTTGCTAGCTGGGAACAACTTGTGAAAGTGAATAAAAATCTGAATGACGAGCTGAAGCAAAGAGATGATCTTCTAAAGAAATTGAATGCAGAACTGGTCATAAAAGAAGATCTCATCACTCAGATACGGTCCAGAGAAGGAAAACTAATCAAGGAATTGGAGAGCTTGAAGAAAAATATCCAGATGATGGACACCACATCTACCTTAGATAAGATTCTAGACTCTAGCAGAAATCCTAATGATAAAAAGGGTCTGGGATTTGAACAAGGAGAATCTTCGAATAACGCACCAAAGTTCATCAAAGAGGGAATGTCTAAGACCACTGCTGATCACAGGTATGAACAAGGACAGTCATCACAGTCAGTACAAAACAAGGGAAGGAGGTACGATCAGAATACTGATACTGACCTGGCCAGATCAACTCATCAATCTCATTATTCGAGGTTCAAAAATTAGATTGTCAAAGTTAAATAATACACTCCCATTTGTCACTACTGTCAAACAAAAGGTCATACTCGACCTAATTGTTATTTTTTCTACAGAGATCAAAGGAAGGAAAAATATCAGAATAAGACTGTTACACCATTCACTAGACAGTTTTGGGTCAGAAAGTCAAAAGTTATCTGCTACCCCACCATTGTTCTGACTGCATCTACAACTGATGCTAGATGGTATTTCGACAGTGGATGTTCCAGACTTATGACTGGAAATATTAAGTGTCTGATGGCTGTTTACCCTAGCAGTGGAACTGTAACATATGGAGATGGACAAAAAGGTAAGATCGTGGGGAAAGGTATCCTAAATGTACCAGGCTTACCTCAATTAGAAGAAGTCCTGCTAGTCAGTGGGTTGAAAGCGAATCTAATTAGCATCAGTCAGTTGTGTGATCAAAATTGGAATGTGTGCTTCGATCGTAACTGCTGCAGAGTTAGTGACAAAGCAAATCAACTTGTCATGGAAGGAACTCGATCCTCAGACAATTGTTATGTTTTGACAAATGAAACTGCTTGTCATCTATCCAAATCTGATGAATCAAAACTCTGGCATAGACGACTGGGTCACATAAACTTCAGAGATATGGATAAGCTGATAAAGCTGGAAGCAGTAAAAGGTGTACCTAAGATCAGAATTAATCCAGAAAAAATCTGTGGCGCATGTGCAATTGGGACACAAATCAGAACTCCACACAAAGCATTAAGAGGTATCACCACTGAGAAATGCCTAGATCTTGTCCATATAGACCTCATGGGGCCAACACAGACTGAAAGTATTGAGGGAAAGAAGTACATATTTGTGTGTGTAGACTACTTCTCTCGATACAGCTGGGTATACTTTCTGAGAGAAAAGACAGAAGCTTTCAAGGCCTTTAAGACTCTGTGCATAAGAGTTCAAAAGGAAAAAGATGAGTCCATTATAAAAGTTCAGAGATTGAGGAGTGATCATGGAAAGGAATTTGAGAACTCACTATATTCAGACTTCTGCTCTGAGCATGGTATATCACATGAGTTCTCAGCTCCTAGAACTGCTCAACAGAATGGAGTAGTGGAAAGAAAGAATCGAACTTTACAGGAAATGGCTAGAGTTATGCTACATGCCTCACATCTGCCACAACGCTTCTGGGCTGAAGCAGTTCACACAGCGTGTCATACTATAAATAGGGTCTACCTTAGACCAGGAACAATGAAAACTCCTTATGAGATCTGGAAAGGAAAGAAGTCAAATCTGAAATATTTTCATGTGTTTGGGACAAAGTGTTATGTGCTGGCTGATAGAGAACAAAGAGGGAAGTTCGAACCCAAGAGTGATGAGAGTATCTTCCTTAGCTACTCTCCGAACAGTCGTGCCTACAGAGTCTACAACAAGAGGACTCAGTCTGTGATGGAGTCAGTAAACGTGGTTATCGATGGCAACCCAGAAGAATCAGTAGACTCAATAGTGATAGAGTCTTCTCTAAGTGATCCAGATGCGAGTAATAACAACAGTCAACTCAAACCACAAGAATCGTCAGATGAAGATCAAGAAAGTTCGGAACAGGAGATAGATCTCATGAATGATGTTGGTAAAGACAAACCCACCAGAACTCAGAAAAACCATCCATCAGATAACATTATTGGAGATCCATCAGATGGGATGAAGACCAAAAGCAGAATAAGAAATAATCTGACAGAAATATATGGGTCTGCTTGCTATACCTCAAAGATAGAACCCAGAAATGTCAAAGAAGCCTTACAAGATGATCTGTGGATCAAGGCAATGCAGGAGGAACTACATCAGTTTGAGCGGAATCATGTCTGGAATCTTGTACCAAGACCTGATGGTGTCAACGTAATTGGAACGAAGTGGATCTTTAAAAATAAAACTGATGAAGCCGGGAATATAGCCAGAAACAAAGCTCGGTTAGTTGCTCAAGGTTACACTCAGATTGAAGGGATTGACTATGACAAGACTTTTGCTCCTGTAGCTAGACTCGAGTCAATCAGAATCTTGCTGGCTGTCGCATGCATTTTGGGATTTACATTATATCAGATGGATGTCATGACAGCATTTCTGAATGGGTATCTCCATGAAGATATCTATGTGGCTCAACCTAAGGGTTTTGAAGATCCAGAACATCCTTCTTATGTCTATAAGCTTCGAAAAGCTCTCTATGGTCTTAAACAAGCCCCACGGGCATGGTATCAACGACTGACACAGTATTTGCTCCAGCATGAGTATAAACGCGGAAGTGTTGACAAAACTCTGTTTGTAAAAACTACTGGAAGTCATGTAACCATAGCTCAAATCTATGTTGATGACATTGTGTTTGGATCAACCCTGCAGAAATACACTGATGAGTTGGTAAAAGTGATGGAGGAAGAGTTTGAAATGTCCATGGTTGATGACTCTAAAGAAACTTGCTCTGCTGTTGATACTCCTGTCTTTCCTGCTACTATTGAAACTGTTGATTTATCAAGCCCCCACAAGTCTGAGAAAACAGGTGGAATTCCTGTTTACACTGCAACATCTTTAGGAGAGAGTCTGGACCATGTGTGACACTTTGCTGGGTGGTGAGCTGTCGTAGGCTCCCAAATTAAAACATTACAAACGTAGTAGCGGGAGTAAGGATCGATCCCACGAGGAGTAACTAGTTTAACTTTTGTGCTCAAGGAAATAATGGGGGGTTTGGAATATATCGAGAATAAAAATTAAATAAAAGAGAAATTAAATAAACGAGAAATTTAATCGAACGAATAAACAGTGAAAATAATATATCGAAAACACTTATAATAAGAAACCTTGGTCAGTAAAGATCCACCACCGGAGTTTAACACTGATCATTGATTTATAAAGTAATTAATATGCAGTTGAATATTTGTCGTGAAATTATTTCATTTCCGTTTTCCCTTAGTTGTAGGTAATTAAAGCACACGCGGTTTAATTACCCCTAACTACTAAATAACCTAAGACAAGCGCTATAGATTTAATTTAATAGCAGCAATAGGAACTAGGAAAACCGACAAACTAAATAACACAAGCACAAGCGGTTGCATTTAATTTAGGAAAATATTCTACCCGAGTCCAATTATCACTAAGTCGTCAATAATTAACCCAGTTGCTACTGAATATTAGAGTATTTTGTAGCACAACATTATCTAATATAGCAAATAATTATATCAAATAAATAACTAGTAGGCCTCCCTAGCAATTAAATGACACAATTATTTCAAATAACTTAGAAGAATATTTAATACTCAAATGCATAAAAAATATATAATAAAAATAAATAAATAACCTTACAGCGTAATGAACTCTGGGGCTTCAATTCACTAAACCAAACAAGAAATTAGCCGCGAGTGGACATTGATAACAACCTTAAAGAATATTCGAGAGGGGAAGAATGAACTAAAGAATGAACCATTTTCAATAGGAAACCTACACTATTTATACTACTTCTAAAAATATTTTCCAATCATTTTCCTACCACCCGTTTCCTACTTTTGTGCCGCACAACATACTCCTTCGACCATTTTGTAATGATGCCGTGAGAAGCGCTTGCACGTCCGAATAGCGTCGAAATGGACAAAGTCTTATTTGCTGCTGCTCCGTACGTTCATTCTGCATACAAATTGAAGAAACAAAACAATGTTTAATATAATGTTTTATTTCTTTTGTCTTCTTCTAAGAATTTGGGTGGTTAGTGATTTATTTGCTTAGGATTAAAATGAAAATACGGAATTAGGCTCAAAATATATTATTAACTAAATATTACTATAAAATACTAATTAATTAATTAAATCCTAAAATTAAATAATTTGTAAATAATTATAAATAACTAATGCAAAAATATTATAAAGACGTACCTAAAATATGAGTGTAAAATATGCCTATCACTGGGCTACCATCTGCTTCAATCCCTCAACCATATCGAGTGCATCCTTCCGAATCCTCCAGCGAAGATGATAAATTACTGGCTGAAGTGTATGGATCTCAAGCACTTCCATCTGATGTTCCAACTGTTGAGGCAACTGCTCATCCTGATTCCACAAATTTCAAAATTCGAGAGATTTCGAATATTATTGGAAGCTCGTCTGCAAATGTTTCTGATTCTAGCCACTCTGTGACTCCGGTTCAATCCCCAACCAAAGAAACAAGCCGGTCAAAAAGTAAGAATGTCCCGGTAAAGGTTGTTGTTGAGAGCAGTGATGATAATGCTGATGTGGATCAGCCTGAGAAGAAGAGAAAATCGAGTGAGACTGTTAAGCCTGAAGGAAACCCGCCTATTCAAAAAGTGTTCAAGACTCTGCGATCGTCTATTAAGCAAAAAGGATCTGCTGCTGTTCAAGCTACCTCTGTACCAGCCCCTTCTATCAGAAAGGGGAAGCCATCCACACGATCAAGAGGTCGAAGTATAACCCCTGAGGTCCCACCTGTTGAAGAAACTGAACCATCTGTTTACCGGCCTCAGTTTGTATCTCCTGCTGCACAGACCAAATGGGCCACTATGGTTAGAAGGGATCTTATTGTTCAAAGATCAGTGGACGAGAACCAGCTGAACTCTGTTTGTGACATTCTGCCCTTGCTGAATGAAGTCGGACTGTTGAAAACTGTCACGGACATCTGCCCTTATTCTAAGCTGCTCACATATGAATTCTATTGCAATCTCAGTAATGAGATTGACATTCTCACAGGGCCACGACCGATGCAGATCTTTATCAGAGGAAGGTGGTATGTTTTTGGGCCGGATATGATAAATGAATACTATGGCTTGCCAGCTGTTCAAGAAGAAGCTGTTACTGACTGGGACTTAGTTGCCAGAACTCTGACTGGTGGGCAGACAGAATCATGGCCTACGGGTGACAAGGACTATCTCCAAAGCTCTCATCTCACGTCAATATGTGATTTTACACCGCCTAGCTCTTCACAACTGGCTCCCATCAGCCCATTTCCACACCGTTGGCAAGCTTCTGGCTGGGTTCTTATTTCGAATTGGAACAAAGATGCAACTTGATCTGGGCAAATGGATTTACTATCACATCCTCACCCTGATTCATCCACGCGAACAGAAGGTAAGACTACCCTTTCCAAATATGATTTATGGCATCCTTACCACTCAGGGCCTTGAGCCTATGCCCAGTGAAGTGATCAATCCAACGCTGCTCTATACTGTTGATAAACGCCTTCTGTCTGGAGATCACATTCGGGATGTTATTCCTGTGACTGCCCCATCCAATTCTGAACCTGATGCTGTGCCTGATGACTCTCCTCATGCTAAGGATGTTCAGTTTTCCATACAGTTGAAGGCAATAGTTGCTGATCTTGAGACGGTGCACAGCATTATTGCAAAGCAACTGACAGGGGCCCATACTGAACTGGCTACTGTTCTTCTTCGTTTGAGCCTGACTGAAGCTGCTGCTGCTGCTGATCTTGTGAAGTCTGACAGTGACTCTCCCTCCAATGCTTGATCTTTGGCTACCATTGGCAAAAAAGGGGAGTAGTATGAACTCAGGGGGAGTTTTTGATCCTAAACTGTTTTGGATCCTATGTTTCTATTTTTATTCTATGTAATCAGTTCGGACATATGGGTTGCTTCTTTATAATAACCTATCTTAGCTCTTTGAGTTTATAGTCGAGTTGTTTTGCAAAATAATAGCCAAAGGGGGAGTTTGTTAGTGTTTTTAAATGTTCATAAACCCCATATTATAATTGGCAATATTATTATGGCATACTAAGATAGGTTTAGAGTCTGTCTGTTTAGCTCTACAGATAACTGATCAATCAGAAGCAACAACAGAAGGACTGACACTGAAGATCTGATTTAGGAAGCTGATTTCTTAAAAGGCTTACGCGGTATTATCAGACTCATATGGAAAGATGATCAGCGTATTTTTTCAAGAAAGGTATGGACCTAATCTTCTGAGATTACATTCCTCTTTTATAGTCCTACCTTCTACAATCAAAGACATCTATGGAGAGTGGTTATTGAAGGATCTATAAGTACCCTTATTCGAAGAGAATTAGGGTTACGCCGAAAGTAAGAAGAAACACTTCATATCTGCTATATGAGACTAGGTCTTTGATTGTCATGTATCTTCTCAATACAATATGTTCACGGTGATTAAGATGATGAACTTGAGGAGAGTTACTGCTGCTTAAACGAAAGGACACTGTGATCACACTGTTGTGGGAACAACTTTATAGAGTGTCATTGAAGTGGACTGCATCAGAGTGGGCTCTCCAAGTGAAGGGATTTCATTGGACTTCTGTATGCATGGCTCTCCATCTTCAACAATCCACTAGACCTGTGTAGACTGGGTTTGAACCTTATGTGGGGCACTTGGGTAAGATTATTGTATATCTACCTTTGTACATTGGTTTATGATTTAGTGGATTGGACGCCTATTTGATCGTCCCCCAGACGTAGATACACACCGTATCGAACTGGGTACACATTCTGTGTCTTTGGCTTTTGTGCGATTATCTTTCTCTTATACTCTCTTAATGATTTTTCATTACTGATTGGTCTCTTTTCTGAATCAATCAGTAATCTACATCAGTCATCTAATTCTGTTAATTTACTTAAAATGAGGAATTGCAAAATTACATTCTCTTGTGACGTGTGTAGTCACAAAGGCATGTGTTGCCTTGGCATGTGTTGCCGGTTGTGTGAGTCTTATTCTTTTGCGTTGTGCTTGTAGGGTTTTGATCTATTGAGTGATGATAGATCATGCCTTGACTCTTTTGTGAGTCGTGTTGTTCTTGTGGACTTGGGATGTGTTCCCGTGTGTTGTTGTTGAGAGCGTTGAGTCTTACGTTGGCTTTTACTCTTGGTTTTACACTTATATATATGTATTCCGTTTTGAAAATGGTTTTACAACTTATACCTTACTTATGTATGTTATTTCACATGTATTGGTGGGTTACCAGCATTATTCGCTGACTGGGCGTCGTCCCATGTTTATTTGTGATCTTTCAGGTGATGTCTAGACGAGAGCGCAGTCTAGTGCCCGATAGCATAGCTCCTTCCGTTTGTTTTATGGCCTGTGTGCCTATCTAGTTGTAGACTTGTGAGATTTGGGATAGTTGTATACCATGCAGATTTGGCCGTAGCGATCATCTTTGTTGATGAACGTGGCATAACACCCCATGACTTAGATTTATGTTTATCCAGTTATCTTTTAATCTTCCGCTGTGCTAGTTGTTTTGTTGTGTTATCTGCATGTGTTAAGGCTTTTATAGCATGTGTTTTGGGGGGGTGTTACACTGCCTGTACCGCAGAACAAGGAGATTGATCGTAACCAATCGATGAACCGCAGCTCATTTATAACGTTTGATCGAAACCAAACGGTGGACTGCAGCCCGAATAGTATGTATATCTGATCGCAACCAGATTATGGACCGCATCCCTATATATATTTATATACCCGTCCGATCGCAACCGGCCGGGTTAACAGTTGTTGGTCCCAAAAGAGGTAAGGTGAAAGTCTAGAGGGGGGGTGAATAGACTTTCAAACTTTTTCGCACAGCACAACAATTGCTAAGCCAGAGATAAACCAAAACTCTTAACTAGATTGTTAGAGTATGGTGCACAGCGGAAATAAATAAACATAAAGTGTGTGTGAGATTGTGTGAGCAGTATATCTCGTGTAGAGCGAATATGTAAAGAGCGGTAAGTAAAGAAAGTAGTAAAGAACACAAGACAATTATAGTGGTTCGCGAGGTGGTGTAATCCTCCTACTCCACTTGCTCTTATCTCCAAGAGCAATTCACTATATCTACCACTCCTTGGTTCCAAGATACAATGAATTTCCGTGATCTAGTGCTTTGATCACAAAGCCCGCACTAATCACGCCCAGTGACACCACACTGCTGCTTCGGGTTTCACGTCGCCGCGCTACTATCCCAGGATTTCACGACTCCGCGTTACTTTCCCCCCGTCTTCCACACTCCGGTAGAAACGTATCCCGTGATCTGGTGCTTTGATCACCAAGCCCACACCAATCATGCCCAGTGCCTCCGACACTGCTGCTTCGGATCTCACAGCTCCGTGTGACAATCCAGGATTTCACAGCTCCGTGCTACTTTCCTCCCTTCTCTTGTTTTGCTCCAAAACAAGTGTTGTCTTGCTTCCAACTTCTGAGACTCTGTAGATGATCTTCAATGATGCGCAGGTCTCTTTGATGAAGATAAACACTCTGGAATGATTTCTCTTGACAGCTCTGAGTGTTTTCTCTCTTTGAATATATCAAGTAAAGCACTTGATATTTTTGCTCTGCTTTGCTCTGTTTAAGAACTCTCAGAATATTTCTCTTTTGAAGCTCTCTGAGTTCTTTTTCTTTTCTCACTTCTCACTTGAAGATTTTTGATATGCTCTGTACCAAATGAGATTTTTGCTCTATGCTCTTTTCAAGCTTAATTGCTCTATTCGATCCCTTTTATGGATTCGAATTTTCTGCTCTTGCTCTATTGTACGCTCTATGTTTTTCCCATCTTCAAGTCTTCATATCTTCATCATTTTATAGCTGGTAATGAGAATCTGTCCGTTGGAAAGAGACGCTCTCAGTTTTGAAATCTTGTATCTTTTTGTCAGAGATCTTATCTTATCTTCTGCAAAGATGTTAGAAAGGATAAGCTAGCCGTTGTTAGAGCTTCATCTCCATGTAAATAGGTTCTCAAACTTCATCTGATATTTCCTCTGGTTTTACGTTGAGTGGGAATATTTGGGTGTAGAACGGCTTCTCTGATTAGCTCTGAAGTGGTCTTTGTATCTTTGGGATTTAAAAATATTCATCAATTTAATCCCATACTAGTTAAACTAGTATTTTTCCTTGTGAGAATATTTTCACTGTAAGTTCATCTTCATCTTCTTCATTCTCACGGGTGTTCTCAGACTTCAAACTGGCTTTGAACTTCCACCCAATTTGAATTTCTCCTTTGTAATTGACACCCAATTTGAATTTCTCCATTGTAATTGGCTCCCAATTGACTTTGACTTGCAATTGGCTCCCAATCTGCTCCTGGTGCTTTCAATTGCTTCCCAATTTGAATTATTGACTTTGACTTCGAAATTGGCTCCCAGACTTCTCCTGGTATTGAATTTCATCTCAATTCAATTTGATCTTCATGTCTTCTTTGAATCGGTCCCCAACTTGAAATCCCAGACTTCTCCTGGTATTGAATTTCATCTCAATTCAATTTGATCTTCATGTCTTCTTTGAATCGGTCCCCAACTTGAAATTGCATCCCATACTACAACCTCAATTGGTGAAACTTGCTCCCAATTTCAATTGATTTCAATTTCGCTGTCTTCTTTGAATCGGCCCCCAACTTGAAATTGCATCCCATACTACAACCTCAATTGGTGAAACTTGCTCCCAATTTCAATTGATTTCAATTTCGCTCCCAATTTCAATTCTACATTGGATCCCATCTTGAATTGATTCTCATGTGAAACTTGCTCCCAATTTCAATTGATTTCAATTTCTCCCTGGTGAAACTTGCTCCCAATTTCAATTGATTTCAATTTCTCCCTGGTGAAACTTGCTCCCAATTTCAATTGATTTCAATTTCGCTCCCAATTTCAATTCTACATTGGCTCCCATCTTGAATTGATTCTCATGTGAAACTTGCTCCCAATTTCAATTGAATTGATTCTCATGTGAAACTGGCTCCCAATTTCAATTGCTATGAAATCGGCTCCCAATTCCAATTGCATCTCAATTGCCACCCAAGTGAAATTGCTTCCCAATTTCCACTTGTAATCGGCGCCCAAGGCTTAAACTAGCGCCGAACTCCATCAGATTAATTTAATTTGGCTTCTCAAATTTTACCTTGTAAAATTATTGATGGTGAGTTTTGAACTTGAGCCATTTCGCGTAATATATCAAGCATCATCCACTTCGTCCATACAGCTTTTGATTAAATTTCCAATCATATTTGATGTACTCCTTTCTTTCCACAGATGCTTGATCTCCAAGTCAATTTCATGCATTCTTCCAACATTAATTTTCT